CCCACCGGCGGCAAGATGGCGCCAGCTGTGTGGTGGTTGCTATCTTGTGCATGGTTGTTGTTGTTGTTGGTGGTGGTGGTAGGCCCCATCAACCTTGAATAAAACGTCGCGCCCGCCGGGTTATTGTCATAGTCTCCGGCAGAAAACCCGCCGCCTTTAATTTTATCCATGCCTGAGAGAGAGAGAGAGAGATGGTTAAGTCGTAGGTTTTAATTTGTTGATTGAGATCGGCATGTGCGCTTTCGTTTCTATATTTATTTTTCCGGTTTTTTTTTTTAATTATTATTAGACGAGTTTATTTTTCTTTATGATGATATAATAATATAATGTCTGGAAAGAAAGAGATAAAATTCGAGCAGAGAAAAAGAGAGATTTGATCATGGAAAAATCTTAGGGTAAGATATATATGTCGTCAAAAAGCGTGGAGCGACGAAAGTGATGATGATGATGATGATAAGATATATATATATAACAAATATATATATATGGATCAGCTTTGACGACTTTGATCTTTATCTGTATAAAAAAGAAGTAATAGTATATAGTATTATGTTTGAATCAAAAGTTAGCTGATGAATTTTCAATTCTATTCTATAATACAAGTGTTGTATTACATGAGATAATGAGATGAGAGTGCCCATTTTGTCTTCATCTGGACATGCGTGCTGCTGGTTTTTATCCCTTTCAACATCCAATTCCCTATTTTTATTTATTTATTCTTTTTATTCAACTATCTTAGTATTATTATTATGATTTCAATTAAAATAAAATTCATATAATAAAGGCCAAGTATTTGACAAAACGCAAGTGACTGTGTGATGTAGATCATGAGATATCATTAATTTATAAGATATATATATTTATTTCTTTTTATTATTATTTCTTTTATGTTTTATATTTAATTGGTAAAGGTCTTGTTTACTTTGCTTGATAGGATAGGACAATGAAAGTTATCCCCGTGAAGCTAATTTTTACTTCAAAGGACAGAGATAGAATATAGTTTAGGTGGCGTACATGTAGTTGCAGGGCTCACACGGTAATCATCTATAGGCCGATTATGGGGAGGACTCTGGGTTTTTTTTATCCCTTTTAAAAATGCTAATTTTGTTCATTTTTTCCTTTTTAATCCTGTAATGTAAACATAAAACGACATGCTGACGAGTAAAGTTGGTTGGACAACTTTAAATAATCATATCATCAAGCAAAGTAAATGAGACCTCAAGAAATAATAATTATTATTATTGTTATTATTTCTATTATAATATTTAGTAAGAGATCTTGTCTTGTTGGACAAATTTGGAGTAGTGTTTAGTAGACTTATTTAAATGACTCCTCTTATTTTGTGTTCTTCAATTCAATATGAATTAATTAAGAATATTAGATATTGATATTGTGTTCATGAGATTGCGATCTCATTCGTACAACTTCCTACATCACTGTGACTATATTTAGTAAAACAAGTTGTAAACTAACTGCTAGTTGATAAGCTAGCTTATAT